TCCTAACGGCCCCAACCTTAATACTAGCACCAGGTTGTGAAAGGGGTGTGTAAAGACCAACCCCAAACCCAACCCCAAACCACAGTTCTTGACCAAACCCAACCTCATTTGAGGGCTAGTGGTAAGTAAAAAATGTGTAAAAACCAAACTCTGCAACGGTAGCAACAAAAACAAAAGTTGATACATGTTTATCAATTACACTATTTATATTTTTATATTTTATTATTGATTTTTATAAATATTCATTTTGCTACCTATTTTTTTAACAAGTCCCATTCTGCTTTAATATTTTATAAATTTTTAATCCTCTCCTTATACCCCGCTTAGCAATTTTATTGTTCTTCGTTTATCAAGCAATCTATATACTCAGATTCACAATCTGAGATAGCAGGTTGGAGTGCGATTTCATTTAATTTATTAACTGATTTTAATAAGGCTTTAATCTGATCCTAACATATTATTTAGTTTTTTTATAAATCTAACTTTAGCCCTTTTAGTATATCTTCTTTATCGAGTTTTAGCGAAGATGACTTTTAATGTCTCTTTTTTAAGTCTTCCATGACAACTTCTGTTATCTTCTCCTTAACCTCAAATCTAAAAGTCATATTCTCATGATCCTGCCAATTACATTTACCTTTACAAACTGTACATTATCCATTACTCATTGCACAACATTTTTTTTTATCCTCAGAATTACGATAACAACATGGATAATGACAAGTGTGATTACATTTTATACAATTCGTTACATATTCATTTTGATTTAAATTTACTTTTACAATCTCATATCCTTTCTGAGAAAATTTATAATTTTAAGATTATAACTCTTCTTGGGAAAGTTTTTTTATATTATCGACTTGATTTTAAATATCGCCTATTAAATTAAGCTGCTTTTATAATTCCGGTCTTAAATTCTTAATGAGATTCTACAGTTATTTTCTTTCAAATATTACTTCTTTAGTGAGTTTTAAACTGACAAACTATGTCAAAAGAATTTTCTATTCATAAAATATTTTATATTGAGCACAGGCTATATCCCACAATAAAGAATCTTTTCTTCCACTTAGAAATGCCGAATTGTTAAATTAAAGCCAATAAGGACATCTAACTTAGGCAATGAATTCGGCAACTGGGCTTGGAGAATGTTGTTTATCTCCTTGAAACAATAAAGCTTAAAGTGCTTGTGGCTCATCATCCTAATCAGCAAATGTAAACAAAAATATGAAGTTTTCGACAACGTCATTACCAAATAATTTTAATAGACGATTCATAACATATTTTTAAGGAGCAGTTAATCTGTTTTGATTAGCTCTCATTACAAAACAAATCATAGTTATGGAATCTATTTTTTTCAATGAATCTGTTATTTATTCTGAAATTATTTCATCGTATTCTTATCCTCTTGTATCAGCAAATCCTGGAGTATCTATTATTCTTAAACCAGGTTTTCCATCAAAAGATTTAATAAAATAGGTGTTCACTTTTGATGTTTTACTTACAGCTTGTGACTTTGAAAATTCTTCGCCAGTTTCATTTACAATTAAAAATCTAAATGGATAATCATATTGAACCCCCAAATAATAGTTACAAAAGAAATTAATAGTAGTTGATTTGCCAACTCCAGTTTCACCAATCATGATAAGTGTTTTAAATTCACTAATATCTTTAAATTATGATTCTTTATATGTAGGATATATACAAATCTTTAAGCTAGTGTTTTTGTTTTCAACTATTTTACATCTACTAACAATAGATTCAAGTTCAGCTTAATTTTTCTTTTTTTTTTCTTCTTCTTCTGTCCCTGATATCTAAATAGAGTTTGGAATGGATAACTAAGTACTTGTTGTACTTTCATTCGATAGAGGGTAGCTTTGCTAAATTTTTGTTTAGAATATGTTTGAAAATTGTTGAGGAGTGCTAACAATTTATTTGCTTAAAATGTTATTACTGTTAGGCTGTTATTAGAATTTCANAAATTTACTTTTACAATCTCATATCCTTTCTGAGAAAATTTATAATTTTAAGATTATAACTCTTCTTGGGAAAGTTTTTTTATATTATCGACTTGATTTTAAATATCGCCTATTAAATTAAGCTGCTTTTATAATTCCGGTCTTAAATTCTTAATGAGATTCTACAGTTATTTTCTTTCAAATATTACTTCTTTAGTGAGTTTTAAACTGACAAACTATGTCAAAAGAATTTTCTATTCATAAAATATTTTATATTGAGCACAGGCTATATCCCACAATAAAGAATCTTTTCTTCCACTTAGAAATGCCGAATTGTTAAATTAAAGCCAATAAGGACATCTAACTTAGGCAATGAATTCGGCAACTGGGCTTGGAGAATGTTGTTTATCTCCTTGAAACAATAAAGCTTAAAGTGCTTGTGGCTCATCATCCTAATCAGCAAATGTAAACAAAAATATGAAGTTTTCGACAACGTCATTACCAAATAATTTTAATAGACGATTCATAACATATTTTTAAGGAGCAGTTAATCTGTTTTGATTAGCTCTCATTACAAAACAAATCATAGTTATGGAATCTATTTTTTTCAATGAATCTGTTATTTATTCTGAAATTATTTCATCGTATTCTTATCCTCTTGTATCAGCAAATCCTGGAGTATCTATTATTCTTAAACCAGGTTTTCCATCAAAAGATTTAATAAAATAGGTGTTCACTTTTGATGTTTTACTTACAGCTTGTGACTTTGAAAATTCTTCGCCAGTTTCATTTACAATTAAAAATCTAAATGGATAATCATATTGAACCCCCAAATAATAGTTACAAAAGAAATTAATAGTAGTTGATTTGCCAACTCCAGTTTCACCAATCATGATAAGTGTTTTAAATTCACTAATATCTTTAAATTATGATTCTTTATATGTAGGATATATACAAATCTTTAAGCTAGTGTTTTTGTTTTCAACTATTTTACATCTACTAACAATAGATTCAAGTTCAGCTTAATTTTTCTTTTTTTTTTCTTCTTCTTCTGTCCCTGATATCTAAATAGAGTTTGGAATGGATAACTAAGTACTTGTTGTACTTTCATTCGATAGAGGGTAGCTTTGCTAAATTTTTGTTTAGAATATGTTTGAAAATTGTTGAGGAGTGCTAACAATTTATTTGCTTAAAATGTTATTACTGTTAGGCTGTTATTAGAATTTCATATTATTGTTGAATTATAATTAGTTTACATTATTATTGTTGGATAGTTGTTAGCTTTGCATATTAGTGTTGAATTTTGGCGGGACTTCAGTATTATTTTTGAATTGAAATTAGCCTTAAATATTAATGTTGGGTTGTTATTAGTTTTGCATATTAGTGTTGAATTTTATTTGGGATAATGTACGTATTATTGTTAAATTGTTATGAGCCTTGCATATTTGTGTTGAATCTTGGTTGAACCTAATTATTAACATGTTCAAACTTTTTCGAGCAAAAAATGACTTAGATTCAATTTACAGAGATTAAAACCTCAAGGATTTATATTTTTTAATTAGAATTATAAAGGACGATTCAGGTGAATCGATTTAAGAATTGGGCAATTTTTTGAAATTAAAAATTAATAGTATTCAAACATTGTTAGAAAACAAACTTGAATGTTAGAAATTGAACTTATACACAGGTTTATCTTTAAAGGATTGTCAAGATTAGATATAATTATTATAACAATATGAAGAGCTAGGAATATAAGAATCTTTCTATTAATGGATGGAATAATGCAAAATCAAATTACAATAATCAACAATAGGCAAAAATTAAGATCTTAGATCTCAGGGTGAGCTAGTGGAAAGCTAAAAAACAAATCCTGTAAATGAATTAGTTAGAACAATAAATAAAAATTAAGAACCCACGTCATTGATACAATTAAACTAAAAATTATCATTACCTTTAATAAAAATAGAATAATAAAAGACTGGAGATCCGTAATATAAATATTATCAATAAAAAATGCCTAATTAAAAATATAAAAATATTATATTTATTGGAGAAAAAGAAGTAGGAAAGACAACATTAATAAACGCATTTGTTAATTATTATTTTGGAATTACATGGGAAGATAATTTTAGATTAATTGTAGCTGATTAAGAATCAACTTAAGAAATTAAAGATTACTATGTTGAACCTCATAATTAAAGAGATTATGGTATACATTTTATTGATACACCTGGAATTTATGGATAAAACGATTATTAGACTATTGATTAAATATTTAAGTTTATTTAGGTAAATATTTTCTAAATTGATATCATTATTGTTTGCTTTAAGGAAGGAATTTAAAAACTTACAGTAGAGACAAAGTAGATGTTAGAATCAATTGTTAAGGTAGTTGGATCATCTTCTGCTCATAAATTAATAATTGCTCGTACATTCTATTAAGGTGGAGATTAAAAAGATTTTGACATTTTCACAGAAAAAAATAGTCCATTTTATCAAATTGCTTAAAGCCTTCCTTTAGAATGGTATTATAGATTTAATGGAGGATCTATGGTTAAAAAATATGACTCTGCATCCACTTATTACTCCGCTTCTAAATATTATTAGGAAGTAACCGTGGAGAATTTTGCAAATTTAGAAAATAATATGTTTTCAAATAATTAATATAGGACTTAAAAGCACGAAAACCCTATTTAATAAAGCAATGAGTATAATTTGAATGATTAGAAAAATGATTATCATGGTTAAAACAGTATGGGTAAAATTGATAATTTAAAAACTGAAGCTTTGTTGTAGGGGTTAAGCAATTAACCAAATAATTCAACATAGAAAAGTTAGGGTTAAATGATTTAATCTTATTCTTAATAACTAAATAATAACACAAACTTGACTGGAAAAACTAATGATAACAAAACTGAAATTTAATTTTAGAATTTTAGTACAATTTGTTTTTCAAGCTATGATTCATTTAAATAAATGTTTATTTCTTGTATTCAACTTTATAAGAGAAATAAGGAAAATTCTTCTTATTTTCATTTCATATAAAAATAAGATTAAGATTAGTAGACATTTTAAATAAATTGTTCAAAACATTTTATTAGTTGTTTTTTTGGTTTTCCAAATAAATAAGAAGCATAAAATTTCAATTCTAGTTTTAATAATTTTTAAATTTGTGGGTGCCCCAGCAACACTCTTTAGATAAATTAGAAATATTACAAGTATTTTGAATAATATTCAATATATAATTAAAATGTGAATATTTCGCATTTTAAGGAATAGCTAAAAAAAACGATGTAAATAATATTTTAATGTTTATTCAACTTGCATATTAAGAAACAATACCATCAAAATCAAAAAGTAACTCAAGAATAATTTTTGTACCAATTCATACAAGATTTAAAATTGGAAAATAAATTTTTTGAATTAATAAAATAAGAACTTAATTCACCAAAATGACATAATGATAATCATTATAATAATCCAAAAATAAAATAAAAAACATATTCAATTTATAAATTTTTAAAGTTATTTATAATATTGTTTGATTTTAAAGGAATGTGAATTCTTTGGTATTTTAATATTTTTCTCATATATTGAATAAAAGATGATTATCTAATTAACAGATATAATTACATAAATTAAATAAAACTCTTTTGCAAGTTACCATATGTTATGAATGTTTTTACCCCATTCAAAATTTCAAAAATCAATATAAATTATAAATTTAAACAATGATTAAATATGCTAATTAAAAAAGGCAATTTGATATGGATTAAAATTTATGACATCATAATATAGATTAATCTATTGTAAAGTTTTAAATATTAAACAGAATAACAGAAAGGAAAACCAAATAAAAGCTTGTTGGATCTATAAGTTATTGTGGATGTTAAAAGTCTGAAGGATAAAGACTAACAAAAAAATGTACTGATTTTTTCAACTCTATTTTCAAAAACAACAAAAAAGCATAAAAATTATAATTTGTCAAATTTAAATCTTTATGTTTTTTTTTTTATTATAATAATTTTATTATACAAAATTTTTTTTTCTAACTTTAACTTTTTGATTATTATCCTGAACTTAAGGTATCTCTAATCCAAAACTTATTAATTTTTTTCTACAATCTGTTAATTGTTCCTAATCATCAATCTAAATTTTTCAAATCTCAATTTTTATTTATTAATTTGCTTATCAAACCTACAAATTCTTATTATTTTTCATTTTAATACAATTATTTTATCAATACTAATCTAATTCTATATCATTTAATTACATTTGTTCTAATAATTAATTCTTATATGTTAAACAAAATATAATTATTCTTCTATAATTTTGATTTTCTTTATTTTGGGCTCTTTTATTCATGATTTTTCATTACTTATAAATTAATTTAAATTACATTAGGTTTACTAATAAAATATACATATATTATCGTATTCATTTCCTATTCTCTGATTTTTAAATCCATGTTGGAATTAGAATAATTGAATTTTAATCATTTAATGTATTTACTTGATTCTTAAAATTATAGTTAATAGTTTATTAATCCTTAATCTAAGCATTAACCAAAGCTAAAATATCTTAATTTTGTTATATTCTTTTTCTTCGCTTCTTTTGAATGCAAATCAATTAAAGTTATCTATAAAAAAATAAAAATTATGATCTCATTATTTTTATTCATTCAAGATTTTAATTAGCACTGTAACTCATTTATCTTAAATATTTTGTTGTAAAGTACTCTACTCTTATGAGATCTTGGCTCAAACAGATTAGCTTATTTAATTTGTTTAAAATTTTTATAAATGAAAATTAAAAAAGTGCAGACTTTATTTTTGTTGTGTACAAATTTGTGTGAATTGAAGGATCTTTATATTGATTGCCTTCTTATCTTAGATAGTATTGTAAACAGATCGCAAATTTAATAAACAAAATTAAGTAAGCCAAGATGGTTAAAAAATACTCACAACTAAAATAATTGAAAAATGGAAACAAGAATTGAAGAATTAAGAAAATAATTTGATTATGATTAGATTTTAAATAATCATTTATTTTTATTATTAGTAATAATAAGTTCATTATTGTAAATGTTTAAAAATAATAAGAAATTAAATTCTATTAAGTCAATTATGATCTTTGGACATGATAATTGTATTAAACTTTTGATTTTTAATTTTGGAAAACAAAGAAATCATATTCAAAATGAAATAGAAAATTAACAATTGTCATTAATGAGTTATTTGTAATTTAAAAATAATTTAATTTCTGTTTCAATTATGTAAATTAAAATTTTTAACTAAATATTTGTAGAAGATTAATTAATTAATAAATTTGGATGGACTTAAATAATGAGATATTTATAAATATCAAAAAGTATAATAATATATTTTAAAAATGGCTATTTTATAATTGAAGCGCAAAACAAAATAATAATTTAATTTGTGATATATTGATATGATCATACTAGATCAAATGTTTCACCTTAAAATAATAAAGCTTCTTCTAATCTTTTCTATAAAATTTGTTGATTTGAATAAGGAGGCATATCAATTGTATGTGTGCTATTTATTAAATATGAATTATACCATGTATGACC